ATGTTGGGGGGAGGCCTGTGGCTCGCCGCTGTGTGAAAGTTACTCAAGAGTCTGCCCTTACAAGAAAATGGTGCAAGGGTACCCTCTTTTTTGTGAAAAGTTTGACAAAGCAATAACCCCTGGCTCTAAGAATTGAGGAATATATATAATAATTTACGATTAGATATGTCACGGAGTTTTCCATTTCAAAATGTCTGGATTCACACGATTTGGCGTGAAAAGTTGGTCAAATTCAAATTATTTTACAAAAATATTTGTTCGGCGGATTTCCCAATTTTCCCGTGCAATTGATTAAGACAGTCATCTAGTTTATATGAATCTAGTTTTATAACCAGGAAAACTAGAGTAGATATTGATCAAATTTGGTAACACTCAATTTTTTCCGGTGAAAAAATAAAATAATTTTTGGGTTATTTATAACCACATTTTCATAACCTTTTTTGAGGCAGGGCACAAAATCAGTGCTACTGAAAAATAAAATGACTAGGCCTAATGTAATTTGGATTTCATCATTTATGCTCGGTTTTCTGGAAACCCATTAATTAATTAACGAAGACGACGTCTCATTTTGCAATCAGAGCGCGCGAAATCAGACGTAGTCTGTTGCTCTGCTGTTAAGTGCAAATCTTGCGCACGCGTTTGGTAATGAACGCTATGAACATACGTTGTTTTATCCCAAGAATGAATCAGCGATCACCCACTCATCAAGGGGTCTTTGCCGGAAAGTTTGTCCATTTTGCAGGAAAAGACTACATGTTGCCCACTAGCTGACCTTTGCCCTTGGCCTTGCAAGAGGCCCGCTACCAATAGAACCACTAAATTGCAACCACTGAGAAACTTTTGCTCTAAATCTGCCCTACAACGGACCTCAACAAGGAAGAATTTGACCAAATACGGCTAAAATCGGATGAAGACTGTGACAGAAGAAGCCGCTTATTTTCCTGAAATGACCGCCAGTAACCTCTAGGTACATATTACAAAATGTCTCGATTCACACAAGGTAACCTAGCTTGAGCCACAATTCTGTGTATACCCTACGCATATGAGGAAGGCTCGGCCCACTCATAGGGATTTGACTGACCAATTGCAAGTTTGGCCTTCATCGGTTGAATATTGTGGGAGAAGCATTTCGTAACTTTCAATGAAATGACCTCTACTGATAGCTGATCTTTGTCGGAGTGCACCATATCATTGAAGCTCAGGCCGGTTGTCCATAGTTATGGCTTAGTTTGGTTGAAACTGGGGAGTGATTTAAAGGCACATGGTGAGAAAGAAGATTCAATACGACAATAGGCCTTTACCACCTGAGACGATATAGGACAACAATATCCTTGTACTGGCTGAAAGAATAACTGCTACCGAACGAAATGAATGAAAGCAATGCAGAAGCCTAGGACTGATAATGAGTGGAACCAAGTTGAAGAAAATCACTCGTACAACTCCGGTTATACATTCGGGGTGGACCCTTGTGCAGACCGATACACGCAAAGGAGTACCAAATCATTTAACATAGAATTCTATATCACAGTATGACCATGAAGCTAGTGCTGATACCGAATGAAAATGTTTGTCTGTAGCTTACCAAGCAGTGAAAAACTGAACAAGCATCAGGTCATGTCGGGCGGCCTCCGATTTGAACGAATCATCAGTGAGTTCTATAACATCACCGCCAAGAGCAAGCCCCAAAAGCACAGAGATCAGCAGAAACGTCTTCATTTTCAGTGATGCCTATGTAAACCTCTTACACTCAGGTTTCCCACACCAGCTTGTCCTACTAAACGAATACTCTGTACACGTGATGTGATTTTACCGCAGCAGCTAGGCCTCGTACCCTACAGCAAGAGCCTACTAATCCCGGGTAGACTTACCAACTGGTAGATTTACTCCTTGTGACGCAATCTGATCATTTCATCTGCTCATGAATATGCAAATCCCACAGGCACTGCGAATTCTTCTCTCTTAAGAATCTTCTACATGACAAGTTCCCGTGAATTAAATCCCCAAAAGGTTTTTCAGGGATATCTGTCTAGGCAGTATAGGAATTATCGCGCTAGGGACTTTATGTAGGTTCTTACAAGGCTCTGATCCCCTTGATTACGACGGGCAGGTCTTTTCTACTCTTTATCTCGGCTGAAAGTAAAAGGTCCCTCAGTGAGCTTCCGGAACCCTCGCGCGGTACGCCTTTGGGGATTTTACATTGGGCCGTCCTATTACATTCGATAATTTTGGAAGAATAATTCCTAATTGAAGCCACCCCAAGAAACGCCCATGTCAGAATTTTCCCCTTGTCCTTGTCAAGACAGAAATATTAAGGAAAAGTCACTTGGATATAAGTAAAAAAAAAAACAATGAATTTCATTAACGGTTCACTTCCGGCAGTATTGTTCCTAGGTCTCCTTGTTCATGCACGTTTGTTTTCGTTCCCCGTGCTTACGTGGAAACGATACGTTGCAAAGATTTACCTTCCTGTAGTCAATAGACTCTAGATTCAGTCGAGTTGACCTGGCGCAGTTCTCGTCACCAAAGGTTAGATTATACATTAGAATCTTTCGTAGAAGCGGGTTATTACTTCAAGTTTATCGCCTTATAAATGACAAAATCATTCATGCCACATAATTATGCTTATACACTTCAAATGTGCTCGGTCCATACCCCCGTTTGTATAAATCGTGACAACTAAATCATCTCTTTCACTGAAGTAAAATTTGAAGTTGGATGGCCATCGGCAATTCAGAGTTAAATTTTCCCACAGTACAGTATTTCAGCAACTAGGGGAAAGAAATCAAACATTGACGGAAACTGAGAGCCAAGTCCCTCAGGTAGTGCAGTGGTCGGACCAGGTCGACGATGGTCGACTTTCCCCCCTTGAAAATCCCTTAAATATCGTTTTAGCCATGAAAGTAATTCCAAAGGGCATTTTCGAGAACATCGACTGGTGGATTAAAGGATTTTCCGTAGGTTTTTATAAGATGACTACAATAATGACAACAATTGGAAAACCTAACAATACTCCATCATACACTCTCTTCGTATTGGTCGCATACTGCAAGAAAACTCCGGGACATTAGGATCCAGGCGCGTGGTGGCTCTCACAAGTTTTCACTTGATTTTATGCACATTCAGTTATTTCAAAGTTTGACATGAATACCTAATACCAAGGAACACAGATCAAAGAGGCAGTTTCACTTTGTTGCTAGGAAAACTGTAAGCTGTGTTTTGGGGAGGTAATTCTAGGATTTGAAACCTTATCCGACTTCGAAATCCAGGTAATGACTTAAAGAAACTGTTGGTATGTTTTCCTACGCACATTGTACGTTCAACATTTTTCGTGTGCTGAAAGATGTTCCCTCATTTACTGAGGTTAGCTTTTCGATATCTGAGGAAAGTCGTGTATAGCAACAACCATGCAACCGAAATTCAGTGCTTCCGAAAGAGCTGTAGGAATAGGCTTAAGGCTTATTTTTCTGGAAAAAAGACAGGCGGAAATATTAGACAGCATTTTGCATTCTTGAAGATATTAATAAGAATGATCCAATCAGCAAAATAGTGTTCAGCGCATTAATAATGAACTCATAAATGCCTCAGACAGTCTCCGTATTAAATTAAACAACCTGCAACTTGACCGTGTACATACATGTATATTTACATAATGCCCGCTAAGAAGCGATAACGCCCGCTACCTAAATCATGCACTGGTGCCTAGATACGAGACAGTTCCATCGATTCTGAATGGTCAAGAGTCTGTGTGCACGTGGCGCGCAACGCGCAAGCGACAAGTCCATATAAAGAGGTTCTTTTGGCCAACTATAAAATAAATTGGACGAGGGTTTGAAAGTAAAACCGTTGGAAATCCATCATTATATTGACTTCCTTTGACTCTCTGGTTAAAAAAGTATTCATGAATGGGAATAAATTAGGAATTCAGGAAACTGAAGGCTGATAATGCCCGAACGGCAGCATTAGATGCGTCCATTCTCCTTATCCGGTCTTAAATGCTGACCTGCCAATCACATACATGTATTGATTCCTTCTCTCTGCGTGGGATCGCTGCAATGAAATCTAAGCAGAGTTGCACTCGCAACACCCCCCCCCCAAGAAAAGAATCCTGTCGTGCCGTTACAATGTATTAAGCTACACTCTGCAAGAACTAGTGCTTTAATCGTACACAAGTGCTTAATGTAAGGGAACATGATCTCCAGGAGAATTTCACTGGCCTCCGTGTCTACTTTGGTGAGACAATAGATTTCCTGCAACATACTTACTGCAAATCACCGAAAGGTACAAATTGATAAACGGATGTACATGTACACTCCTTGAAAAGAACCCCTTCGAAACGAGAACTTTCAAAATGTCCCCTACAAACTCAGAAACCAACTCTGTGAAACAGGCGGACTGTCAGTAGCCTGTTCCTTGTCTGTTGCGAAGTGAAGATCTCTTCCCATTTTATTTCATTTTCCCGGGTCGACTTTTCTTCATCAACGTCCCAATTTTTTGCTAGGCTACTGCTCAGATTTAAAGGAGACGGTTGATAATTTGAATACTAATTACATTCTGATATGTATGAAAGTACAAAGCCTGCTAGGAATAAAATATACCTGTACTTACTGGTATCACAAACAATTTTTGACTACTTTGTCAGTATTCTATATAACTTGTTTATCCAAAATATTATATATTAGCCCAGAAGCTAAATTCTACACTGGTATTAAAATTACTGATTGGATGGTCCCCTTTGTTATAAGCAAGAGCAGGATCTACTCCACCCCAGGACGATTTTCCATTGTATTGGTCAACTTTACTCCCTAGCAGTCGCGCAGACCTCGAAGCTTGCTGGTGACCAGACAAGACCGTCTTTCCCTTCCAGGGACACGGCGGGAACATGGTCAGGTTTCTTGAGGGTGAAGTGATGCAGGAGGTGTGTGAAGAAGATGAAGAGCTCCATCTTGGCAAGGTGCTCACCCAAACAGATGCGTCGACCTGTACAATGCGGAAATTGCAGAAAGCTGTCAATATCCAAACTTTGAGAACTTTGAAGTTTTGATTACATTCAGAGGCAGAGTTCAAGAAAATTCATTGCGTAAAATTTCGCGCCATCATTGAGTACGTATTTCTTCACAGAACTAGTATTTTCCCTACATTTCTGGCCCTAAACACCCATTATGCACTACCCGTATTTGTTTCTATTTTGGACGGGCTGTAGTGCTGGAAACATTTGGGTATGAAATCCATCTGAAAATGTAAAAGGTAAATAAAATATCATTTGTAATTTACACTTCTTAGAATGCAATGGCGTATCCTGGGGGGGGGGCAGGGGGCAACTTGCCCCCCTGGCGGGTTTTTTAAACAAAGAATACTTCATAAATAAGAAAGTAATCGATATGTTTATTTATCACATATTAGTACTATGACCGTAAGAAAACAACGCTGTAAGGTAAGAGTAAGGATGTTGGAACCTTGAGTAAGGCTTTTGATTTTTTTCTCCCTCCCAACATCATGTTGAATGAGTCCAACGTCACATTCACTTTTGAATTTGCCCCCTGTCAGAATGGAATTTCAAGGACTCACAAGGTTCATTTCTAATCAGTCATGAAAGGCCGATGGAAAAAAAAACGATTTGCAAATATGGAATTTGAGAACAAGAACAAACTACCAAACGTAGGAGTTTGAAATGGTGAAGTGGAATATGCCTCAACTCAGCTTTTGTTCTCCTTTTAAGTCTATTTTGACAAAGATAACCATTTTTAAAAAAAATATTGCGTCCTTGGAACAAGGCCCTTTTCACTAAATACTTCCCAAATTTCCCCACTGATATCAATGACATCTTTAATCGTGACATCAACTTGGAAGCAGACTCGCCATTTTCACCGTCAGCTGACAATGGTAAAAAAATTAACAGCCATGTACAACAGTGGTCGTTTTGGACACGCTCTGACATTGAAACTGCGTGTAAACGTTTCTTGAAAATGTGTGACGTCCGTACATGCGATCTAAAAACAAAATTACTACTCAGCTATTTTCTGACAGACGTTAATGACAAACTCCTTCTATTCAGTGTTCTGCATTCAAACTTGAGTTTAAACCTTGTGAAATTAAATCTTTGGAGCGGTATGAAGTTACAAATGAACCAATATTGACAGACTACGTACCGATTCCAAATGGTATGAGTTCCTCACGGGGCCGAAACTTGCCATCTTTATCAAGGAATCGCTCAGGACGAAACTGCCCAGGCTCTTCCCATACCAAAGGGTCAAAGTGGTTATGCCAGATGTTAGACATCACAATCGTACCTTTGGGGATGTTGTAACTGTTGACAAAGCATAGTTCAGATGTAACCTTTGATAAATCTGAAGTCCGTAGAAAGAAAAATGCTAAAGCAGGACTTATTGCCTTGGCAAAAAAACGGCCAAGGTAATAAGGAATATTTTGAACAGCCGAACAACACAAAATATGTTCAATGATTCCGAAAAGAAATAAAAAGCACAAAGCGTCAAATATGTCGTTTTGATGAAGAGTGTAGGTTTAGAAAGAAATGTATCTGCATCGTGAACAGCGCCCCCAATGTGGTGTCCTACAATTCCCCGTTATCTTTTGCAATTTCCGCAGTTGCAATGGCCCACTATTTAAGTCATCCCTCAAACCACCCAGTCCCCAGCCAGTCACCACTGAGTTTCTGAAACCATCACTAGTTGGGATGAAAGTTACAGATTCTTCTTGCCCATGGTCTGATTGTCTTGCTGCTGCCTATGTAACTTCATTTGGGTTCAACCACTTAAAAATTGGGTTATATATTAAGCATTGTTTATTATTTTGTAGTGGGTTGAACCCTAATAACGTCACATGTCGCAAGGGATATTAAGGGTTTCTCACCTGAGGTCTGTGAATTTAGTAACACCGATTGCTTGAGATACCGTTAGGAAACGTTTGTAGAACAATTTGTTCAATTTAGAAATCGAGATGTTACGAATTCGTCACTACAATTTGTCTATATTTTCATGTGGTATACAGGTGAGCCGAGGAGTGTTCACGAAACAATGAGGACCTGATCTTGAATTGAGCTTTTCTGATTGAGTTGAGAATTTCTGAATCTCCGGTGAAAATGTGTTTGCTCACCCCTCAATGGTGGTATCTTCAGCGGTCATATGTGGCACGGCCAATGGCACGATGGTTCCCATGCGCTGAATCTCACACAGCACGGCTTCGGTGTACGGCAGCTCGGGCTTATCAGAAATTCTTGGCAGACGATTACGACTAGTGACGTCATCCAACTCCTTCTGAACTCGTCTTTGTATTTCTGGGTGTGCAATCATGTACAGCATCCCCCAGCGAAGTGTAGTGGCAGTGGTCTCAGACCCAGCACCAAACAGGTCACCCACGATGTGCTTCAAGTTCTCGGGAAGTAAGGCCAGAGACTTGACACCCTGGCGTTCCTTCACCTTCTGTTCATCCTCGAACATGTCGATGAAATCTTGAGGAAGATCAGAGCTTTGTCCCTTACTGTGTTCTTTCAAGAGTATGTTAATGTAATTGAAGAAGTTCTCCGTGGCAATCACATACTTTCGCACGAACGGAAGCATTTTCAGTTTCGCAAAGATGGGTGCGTTTTCTAGCATGCCCCCTCCCTGTAATTCTAACACAAGATCATTCAAGACTTTCAGAAGACGCTTGAAAGCTGGATCAGTGTACTGGAACCTTTTACCAAACACCACTGAACAGATGATGTTGGATACAGCATTGCCGATGAGATGCCTTGGGTCGAATGCCTTGCTGTTAAATTTCTTGAGTTCTTCAACCAGAATTTCTGCTTCGGTGGAGATGTTCTCCTCAAACCGTGACTTGCCAACACCTAGGCCCCGGAGAACGGTCATGGAAAACCGACGAATCTCGGTCCACTGCTCGCCACTTGATGCTAAAATACCTGCAAAAGAGACGATATGGAGATTTCCAAATATTGGGCTACAGCAGAATGGGGATCGGATCTCAACTGTTCATGAGATAGAAAGGAAAACGACCTGTAAAGTTGCGATTCACCGAGATACACGTGCACAACAGAATTCAGTATCAAATTGTTGAAACATCATCCCCTGCAACCATTTACATCAGTGGCAAATTAGCACTGTGACGTCATTGTGTCTCAGAGTTGTAGACTCAAGTCAGTTGCCTTGGACTCGCGTCGGATTCGAGTCACTTTTTTGTGACTTGTGACTCGACTTGTAACGGTCAGCTTTTGACTTATAACTTGACTTGGACTTGCACATTATGACTTATTACCAACGCAAGTAACAAAAGTACTCAATCAAACCCTTAAAGTTTTAAATAAGGTCTATCACCTTATGCCTTTCGCTCATAAAGCAATTAGCGCAAGACTTCATTCCGCTCGCGACTTCTACTTCGGTCTTGTCTGCCCAAGGCCACGTCTGACTCACTTGGCTGTGGCTTGAAATCACACATGATTCCATCTGCCGCGACTGGCCACTACTATACACTCGTGCGTAATTTCAAGCAGGAGCCAAGTGAAAATTAGGACGCAGCCCTTCGTCAGAGCTTTCTTCCGGCCTGGGTACATGTATGTCATTATCGTCCTCCCATTAATGACAAGCATTTGGTATCGCGCAGGTACTGTGAAAATGTACACATGGACATTGTTATTGAACAAGAAAGTTGAAGAACATACGTATACATTTAACTAAAACTTGTAAGTGTTGAGTTGCAGGCGCGGTTCTACGGGAGCGCTAGGGGAGGGCTCCCCCATGCAAAAATGAAACAACAGTAGCGGAAGTTAAAAGGTGAGTTGATGCCTGGACCCGTTGACTTATAAGATGAAACAGTGCTCGACCTGACTTGTATACTTGGACAAAAAGTCTTGTGACTTGCTTGTGTTTGGACAAGATTGACTTGTGATTTGACTGGACTTGGCTGATTCGTGATCAAATGACTAGTGACTTGACTCACTGGATCCTGTGACTTGGCTTAGATTTGGATGCGAATTTCAATGGTCAATTCAATCTGCACCAAAAAGAACAAATCCGACCCACCGACCCTATTTTGAGAGACACGTAATCGGAAGAAAATTTTGTTTTGGCCTTACTGCACCGCGAACAATAGATAGGGCAGAGTCCACAGTAAAAACAAAACTAAATGGCGCTTTTGGGGTTAAGTGGCGAGTGTTCAAGCCTGCATCTAAGCGTACTGTGCTAATTTATTAGTAACAAATAGCCCTTTGTTTATATTAAGTGGCAAGCACGTTTGACTTCAATGTGTCCAGTTTATGAGCAAAGATGAAATCTCACCAACACCAGAGGCAATACTCTCAGTTATGTGAGGAGGCGGGCGGTTACTCAACTCATACCGCGAGAAGGCTTCCTTGACCGTGTCGTGTCCATGTAAGACGACTATGGGTATCCCACACATATCGATACTCATAACCTTGCCATATCTGTAATTAATATGTAAATAGAACAAAAGATGTAAAGTGGTTACCAATAAATTACATTAGCACTTAGGTGGGACGAGTTCAAAATGCCCTGTTGGGGTTGTTTGGAAGAGGTTGTTCAACCTGGCGTGATAGCTTGATCGATTTTTCTATACTTCAAAGCAAAACACATGGCTTCCTAAACACGATGGAAGTCAAGATATTTACTTTGAGACACAATTAGGAATTGCTACAATTGTCTAGTTATCGACAATTGGCAGATGCATCATTATCTGTTGAAAAGGGCGATCAAATTGTTGGTAGCGATGCGACTGCAAGGCGTGCGTCTCATAGTCGTTCGTGAGCCAACGATGCGCACGCAGTTATAACCAAAGATCGTATAGCGCCGCAAAGCGTTTGGTTACAACCGAAGAAGCCTCCTTTGCTAGGAAAATTACGCCCTCTCTTGGTCCAGCTCGGAGCCCATTGTTGATAAGGAAGCCGAGTTCGGGCTGCTTGTTCCTGTATGTTCACGAACAGCTCGATTTGTTTTTCGTGGGTTTGCCGCTCGAACGGCGGGAACAAACAACCGGTCATCGCTGGTAGTTAGTGACAAGCAACATGCAACATGGCGGCTTCCATTTAGGCCACGTTATTCGAGAGTTAATGTTTGGATGGGCTGAATTCTTTTCTATATAAACACGAACATTCATTTTGTATGTTAAATGTTAATTTTGCAAAAAATCCCATTTCTATGGCTTTGGAAGTCATCTCTGTACTTTTTGCAGCTGTTCAAAATCAAAACCTCACGAGTTTTTCCGTGTGTTTCTGTAAAATCCTGACGAGAAGGTGGTGCGTGATCCTGTTCCGAGAGCAGTGTCTTGAGTCGTGTTCCCGCCGTTCGAGTGCGAGAACAAGAAACCCGTGTCAAGAACAGGCCGCCCGAACTCGACCATAGAGCTAGGAACACCATTTTGGATTTGCATGTAATCTTAATGTAATCATTTATTACGAGCACATTCCAGACAAATAATGTTCAAGTACCCCAGTAAGCTTTAGGGCCTACACTATGACACTAAACTTGAACGTGGCACATGTAAATGTGCCTCAGACGGTCGTAACCTATGGAGCAAAGCCCGAGATCATAAATGTTGATTTCTGTGGAAAGAGAAAAACGAGGGAGACAAACAAACAACTCTACTTATATATGGCCCTGGCCGGGAATCGAACCCTGGACCATAGTGACGAAAGGCGAGTGCTTTACACACTAGCCAGCCGCATGACACCCATGTAATTATAACGTTGGGACCACTGGTCCTATACAATGTATATTCGCTTTTAAGACAAGTTCATACCTATCAGTCAGTTTAGAAATCCGCCTGAACAGCGTGTCCCCTGGCATCAGCAGTTGAAGATTGCCAAGAATCGGCAAACCCCAGGGACCAGGCGGCCGGTTTCGTGGTCGACGGAGGTATCGAAACAAGACAAGGAACACCACGATACCGAGCACAAGCGTCCGTGCGTCGAGAAGAAGCTTCCATGCGGAAAACACCTCCATTGTGAGTCCTAAGTTCTGTAAGAAACCACCGAAAAGACAGCACAGTTGACTTTATTTGTGCGCCAGAAAATCCAGATATAAAGTTCAAATCATACAATCACTTGAAAATGGACTTTGAACAGAAAACTTGCTCTGTCAAGATCTGCCAAAGATATGTTAACAGTGATTCGCGATTAATTTAAGTGGAGGCAACACCTCACTTGGGAGATCTGGCCCGAGGGCATCCGATAAATAGTCAAAAGTCTTCACTCGTAAAAAAATTACAAATTTTAGCACATAGGCTAGCAATGCAAGGAAAGCTGCAATATCAAATAAGAACATATGAAAGTCTAAAAAAACATAAATCAGCCCAAACTGTTTGGAGACAATGGGAAACCCTAGAGTCGATTTTTCCGGTAGCTGCACCAGGGGCTGCTGCTGGAAGTACACGCAAATTATGTTTCAGTCTGGCCGGGGCTACGGCAGGGTTTTTTTTTAATTCAAATATAATAATAATCATAATAATATTGTATTCATCAAATCTACCATTCAACGCAATTTATTATTCGTCACATTCATAAAAATGTGAATTTGACTTCCAGGAATACGGTCATAAAAACGTTAAAAACATTTAAATACCTTCATTATTCAAACGATTATTAAAGCACACAGAAACAACATTAAAATGAAATTAAAAAGTCACATAAAACCCGTCTTAACCCAGTACGACAATTACTCAATTAAAACTTTGCTTAAAACAACCAATATGCAATGTACATGTTAAACTGAAATGTAAAAAAGACTAGAAAGTATATTCCCTGTCAAATCTGGAAGGTGGACCCCATCTCCGAGTCATAAAATGTTATGTGGCCAAAACCTGAAGAAGCAACACCATGAAAAGCAAGGGGCGTATTAGAAACCCCATTCTCATGGGACTCACAAACAGTGTTCTTGGGTCGTTGATTACAAACGCCGAAGTACAAGAGGAGTGGAGTTGCGCTGAAGGTCAAGATAGCAGTCGCCATTTTGACGTGCCATTTTGACACCTAATGAAAAGATGGTATGACATTTACTATCTCACATTAAATAAAAACCCCAAAATATCCCCAATAATATTAAATGGTTAGGGTAAATTCTCTCCGATAGCCATGAGTATTTGGCCTGGGTTTCATTTTCCTTATTGTGAGTGTTTTCTAGTTTATGTAACAAAACCAACATTAAGTTACGGTATGTGCCTATGTCAGCCAACGTTGTTCTTGATGTTCTCCATCCACTTCCCAGAAAGTGGGGAGTGAGAATCTGGTTGATTCTTCCCGTTCGAAACCTCGTTCTCGTGTTGTCCTAACACGAGAACGGGGGTTTCGAATACGCCCAAGGATGTCGGGACCGTGAGTAAGGCTTCTGCCTTTTTCTTCCCAACATCATTGAATAACTTGAAGCCCGAAGCCGCATTCGCTTTTAACCCCCCCCCCCCCCGACACAAAACCTGGATATGTTGCTGGGCCACAGTGGAATCGATTAACGTTGTTGGCGGCCCTTGTCTAGGCTAACAAGGTAGGGGAACTAGAGAACAGGGCACTAACGATAAGCAAGGCTATTAAAAGACCTGCATGGGGTTGTACTAAATACATCACAGAACGACACCTTTGGTTTTACGCATTCCGTTTCTCTATAACCATATACAAGGGGTCAAGGAAAAGTAAATGCTGCACAGGAACACGATGCATGCGTTTCATGCAGGAACTTCACACGGCCAAACTTTTATCTAGAGGTTGTACATGGCGGCCATTCAAGGCTATTGTTCCATTAGAATGCACGTGAATAGACCTTTTGTACTATTGCGCCATCCCGGACGATGCTTGCTATGCAACCCCCCCCCTAGTATTACTTACACATCAAAAGACACAACCCTTTAACTTTATGTATCGTGCAGCTGCTCGCCTAGTTGGGTCACGAGCACTGACCTGCCCACTTGTAATGGCCTAGTTCAATGCTATTTTTTAAAGAACTTGATAAATTGCTCTCAGCATTTTTAGAACGGTTCTACCGTGTCACCTTTCATTGGGGGTGTTCAGATGGGGAACAAATGAATTATGAACTAACGTTAACTAGCTCGAAGAAACCACTGAACCAGATTCTTTGAAATGTGATGCAACTTGGTCGTCCAAAGCCTTTCGAGGATATAAATAATAGCCCAGCAACTCCATTAAGCCAGGGAGCTACTGTAAAAGGCACTGTCAGTTTCAAAAATCGCTGTGGTAATAGTATGACAATAGAAATAAAGAGTAGGCCTAAAGTATAGCCACTTATGGGTCTTGCTATGGTCTTGCTAAGTATAATACCAAAAGTAGAAGTAGCTTTTATAAGCAGCTAGACAGCCCAAGTGCGGAGCAGTCGTTGACTTGTTTTTACGCCCTGTGGCATCTGTCCCAATTGGACAGTCCCAACTGTAGTGCTCTAGTTTGGGCTGGCTGGCCCAACTTTTGTTGACCACTAATTTCTGTAGAAAATTTCTCAACCTTATCCATGTTTATGTATCTCACACTTGACACAGTTCATTTAAACCATGGAGTTTAAACTATGGCACTTCATCGACGTGACACTGTAAACAATATGACTTTAGCACATGCACACTGGACCTGTGTGTGGTCAAAAATGAAATGTCCGGATTTGGGGCATGGCATGCACGTACACGTACATCTGGATACGAGTGCGTGTCGGTACGAGTTGACTGTTACCGCATTGCACTAATACGTACATGTACATTTCATATACATGTACAATGACGTCAAAATGCCTGACTAGAAGGCACGAACAAAACCTTCCGTTCTTATTCATATGGTTTCCTTCTTGCATGATACTTTCTTGTAGAGCGCTCATGATATTCCTCGTTATTCACAAATTGAGCAAATAATGTCAAGGAAAACCCGGCAAAACTGAAAAAATCCCCTCTAAAATGTTGGCTTCACTTCCAACTTCTGACTCTGTTACTTTGGAGGTACCGAGTGAGAAAGACTGGCAAAGAAATCGGCAAGAAATGAATTTTTATCGTGTGCAAGTTAGCAAAAGGGACTTTGAGTGTTTAAATACTAATCGGTATGAAAATGAGGGGCTAACAACTATATCTCAGTTTGATGTTGATCAATTACTTTTGGTGACCACCAGTCCGAGTCAAGATATTTTACTGGGTTCTGGCTGTAGTGCGGGCAATTCAGTATGCGTGCGTACAAACTTAGCGGCATGATGGGCATACTGTACGTGAGATAGTTAGCCACGTATTTTCACCCATTACTGCCCGTGTACTCTGGGATTGTATGGGGCGGCCCATGACAGGGGTAGCCACAATCCAGTGTTGTCTCCTACGATGCGACTTCGAATTTTGATCAAAAGAGGCAGCGGTGGAGAGCCGTAGCCAGTGTTCGATACATGTGCATGCCGTAGTCTCACATGGACTCGAGACGCTGCATCGCGTGTTGCCAACTGGCATAGAGTCCAACATAAACCGTTTAAAATATTTCTTGTAGGGGTTTTCCTGAAGACATACCCCACAAATATAATGCAATGGACGTTTGCAACGACATACATGATAAGTCCCAAAGTCCAACAGTTTTCTAAAAGAGATATTGAGCCATTTCATGCAACAGCGTCATTAGAAGCGAGTATCGTTCCTTGACATATAAACTGATTTTTATCGACACCATTAAACCCTACTTAATTCTACACGAGTTGAATATCAACTGGACTTTCGGGTAAGCAATGAATTGCTTTGACAGAATAAAATCACAGCGAACCAGGTTTTTTAAGTTAGTGAATCTGGCTTAAAAATCTTTTACAAGCTAATGCCCACCAGGATGGCCTTTGGTTCAACCATGGAGCTATAAAACGCTGGCTTCATATTTATGTGTTCCACATTCTTGTGAAAACCCCGATTGCAAGAAAAGCATGATTTGTTTTGTACGAAGAGACGGGAAAAAAGAATTTACACTGCTCGAAAGAGGCTACTGCATATTAACTTTGATTACATAAGATCATTGACTCACATCATAATCCATCTAACGCCTCATTTCCATCACAAAAGCTCACGGGCGTTCCAGTGTACGACCCTGAGCAATAAGCAAAACTAAGTGGAGGAAGGAAACATACAGGTATACATGCATGTACGTGGGGCCAACCCAACTACAGCACTCTAGTTGGGACAGTCCCAACATAGGCCTACTGGTGCTGTCAGATTTCGGACACTCTAGCGAGCCGACCAACGCACTTACCAATACATGAAGTATATGTATGTATCACAGAAAACAATCATTCAGCGCCAGTTGGCTTGTGTGGAGGCTGCAGTTAGTCGGGATTCGTTAGGTTCAACACTTTGGCGGCTAGTAACTGGACGTCAAATGGGACAGGTCCTGATGAAGGCGCGATAGAGCACTTATGGTACCATGAGTGCTCTGGATGGTTGTATGGGGGACTGTAAAGGCCACACGCAGCACGGTGAGTGTTACACAATGTAGTACAAAGTGTAACGTCACACAGCAAGCTTTAAGAACCCTCGTGCGGTTGTTTATGGGGATGTTACATTTTGACCGTCTAATTTGGTTGATAATTGTTGGGAGAATGTTTCTAACTGAAACCACTCCAAGAAACACTCATGTCGGAATTCCCTTTGTCTTCCTTAACTAATATTTTGGAAAAATCACCTGGAGATGGGTAAAACAACTTTCATGATCGACCTTTTACTTCCGGCGATATCGTACCTAGATCTCCTTGCTGATGATGCACGTTTGTTTTCATTCCCCATGACATGTTTACGTAACATGTACGTAAAACATAAAACCTACCTGCAGTCAATGGTTTCCAGATTCCGTTGATTAGTGAAGCACTGAGTTCTTGTCAGCAAAGGTTAGCCTTCTCTAACATTAGAATCTCTCGCAAAAGCAGATTATCGTTTTAATTTTTTTCCGTATAAATTGCACAATTTGGCTTTTACCAAAGGACTACACTGTTGTGTAAAGCGTAATCCCGTAACTCCGCGTACATTGGGCTGTTCTTCATGTATTTTATATTTTCGGAAGTGATTGGTCAATTTTTGCAGGATATTTGTCTTTTAGGGGAGGAATTTTTTTCAGATTCTTTAAATTTATATGCTAGCAAATACTTCAACTACAGGCCTTTGTACAAGTTAAGTTTTAAGAATTTAAGTAACAACGAAAAATATTACAAATTGGTCAACTTTCAGGCTCTGTTGCCAAACAACTCTCAGTGCGCGGCGAAACATCTCTCCCATGCGCAGTGCATACTACGTTACGTGGCCCTAATAAAACACCAATTTGCCCTTCGCAACAAATATCGGATGCAAATAGGCGACGTTTTACTCCACAGAGGTGGCAGCAACTCAATTTGCTAGTCCAAGTCAAGTTACAAGTCGTGTTTTGCAAGTTGAAGCCAAGTCACGGTCATGTGGTCCAGTCACAAGTCAAGTCACAAGTCACTTGATCACAGGTCAAGTCAAGTCACAAGTCCATAATTCATTCTGCGATCCGCGACCCGAATCACACAGGAAAGTCTTGGAAAGGCCTATTATTTTGTTTGACCAGGGTTGGAAAGAGACTATCGTAATAATGGTAGAATATGTATTATTCATATCACGTGACTGATGATCAGCGGAAGTTATGCGGATAACCTTCAACCTGCTTCTCATTCACAAACGACGTTTTCAAACTGAATCATGTATATTAGAATTAGCATTGTTTAGACGCTTTAAGTTGAACACTCACAAATATCCTGCTATTGTCTGGGGCAGTAGCGCAGATGATTTGAGCCATTTTCAATTTTTACCGTGTCGCAAATAACGGTCACACATTCGAATTGCCGCCTTTTACGCAGAAATTTACGGGCTCGAGATTGGGACGCCATTTTTTTTCAATTCTAGACTCTATGACGTCATAAATTATAGGAATGATTCATTACAAGGCTCAAACGAATCTGTTGATTGGCTGCCCCAGATAGTCGAGGTAGAGGTGAAAAACATTCAAGCACTGCCGGTCAAATGTGCAAGACCCGCCATAGCCAAGAAGTCAGGAGGCTGATAGGCCTAGTTGAAAATTAAACTTTAATGGGTTCGATTGAGTAGTTTTGTTTTCTGACTTACATTGGTAAACAAGTCATAATCTGCAAGCCCATGTCAAGTCACAAGCCATTTTTTGCAAGTCCATGTCAAGTCACAAGTCAAAAGCTGATAGTTGCAATCAAGTCACGAGTCACAAAAATAGCAACTCGAGTCCAACGCAGTCCCCCCTTCCTCCATGCTCAGTCCCAGTCAAGTGACTTGAATCTATAACAACTCTGGAACTCCACCCATTATAGATATCGGTAGCCGCGGCACCAACAGACAAAAGGGGGACATTTCTTCCCCTATATCAAATCCAACCCCGACATCTAATTTTTCAGTGGATGTTGAATCGATAAATAATTGCACCGTCAATATCATCGAAGTTGGATGCACAACACCCAGACTGGGAGCAAGCGCAAAGGATATTTATCTTTCAAATAGTTTGTTCTTTTAAACCAGTAGACACTTCCCCCTTTGGCCTGAAATAACAAGAATGTCAAAACAAATACAAGTGTTGAAGAGGAATGTATAATAATGTAAACTACATGATTGGGTAAAGCAGTAAACCCTATCAAACAATTTTGAAAACAGAAAAAGGTTACCGATGGAGAAAAATATTTCTGTAGCTGTACCAAGGGGCTGTTGCAGGGAAGGGCACTTCATAACAGACCTCAGGGAACAGGACTACAGCACGTGTTTCGCGTTGAATTTCTAAATTTTTGTTCTGAAAGCAAAAGACCTTCATGATGTAAAGTGCAGGCATTTTTAAAAAGCACCAAATTACCAGGGAATTAAAGGCGCAATTCTAAGACAAAAGAGAAAGAAGACAAACTAAAGAGAGTCAAATTAGCTATAAGATCTGGAAGAGTTTCTTGGGAGCACCTGCATTTTCATTGCGAGATGCTTAAATTTCTTTTGGTTCTGCGTTGATGCACTGAATTTTAAAGCTGACATCTTGGCTGAAAAGCTCCGAATTATGTTAGAGATCACTTCAACAAAAGGACTCAAAAAGAGGGCCTTGGGGCTATCAGAAATATATCACATACTCACCGAACGCGATGATACCCTCTGCCATCCATTGTTTTGCCCATAAGGAATTCGACACAAGGAAATGTGTTTGTCCGTGGCCCTCGCCTATCCGCCTTGAGTAGAAGCACCCCCTCATCGGTTGACAAGATGGAGCTGTGTGGAGGGGAGTCTTCATTTTGTTAGTATCGACAATACTGTATTACCCGTGCATTTCGGAAGTTTGTCAGCGAAGTGCATTTCTCACCAAAGGAGCCCCTGTTGCTTGGAAAATTGCGCCCTCCTTTGGTCCCACTCGGGACTCATTGTGCCCGTCATGCTTCAAAAGGCTAATGGGATATCATGGAAACACAGCTTATCAATGTACCAATAAATGCAGTTCGTTGAACGTGCTACATGTTTGTAGGATATATGTGGGCCATTTTACTGGGTGCGCAAGCACGGACTTCATTACCATATTCGAATATCGATGACGACGAATGGTGCCCTAAAAAGCGGGATTCGGGAACTTTTCGGGAACCTGCCCCCAGCCCCCCTCCCCCGTGGCTACGCCACTGGGTTTGAGGCGAACTATCCCTCTGTTGTTTGTTTGTCGATGAAATCCGCTTAAAGCACCAGTACTAATTTTGCGATGAAGTTGTTTGTCTTAAATTTGAGCACGTCAAATCAAAGCAAAATTTAGACACGTTAGTCATTTTATGGGTTATAACGACCAATTCCCTGTTAAATAACATTTTATTGTATAAAATCACTGTGGCTGATCTTTAACAGATCCGGAAAAAAATGTGTTACCACCCAAAAACTCATTAATGTATTTTAATGCAGTATTTCGTTTCCAAATTCGTCATTGTGGTGTTGTTTAATAGCCACCGTACTTTGGGACTAGGTACCGACAAGTAGTTCCCTGCCGTATATCTACGTTGTTGAACAAGAAATACAACACGGTATCTGATTATTGTTAGTACATGTATTATTATTACACTGATTGCGCAAGCGGCATGTGCGTGATGTGGCCGTGGATGTGGTTAAATTTGGTTCGGATCTCTTCGTGGTTTTGGGGACGACAGAGCTTCAAGAGAAGAATTGAACATTTAGTTGGTAACTATTGACGAAATACTGCAAAGCAATGCTTACTTTTAGAAATGCGTGTGACCGATGATCATCGCTAGAGCTTTTTCTGTGCGCCTATCCGGGCCATACATGCCATAATGAATAATGGCTGGAGCGAGAGCGAGGGTCTGTGTCACTAATTAGTAATGGCTAGCCTGTCCGTGACAATGTTGACAGTGACATGCATCTTGGGGTTTATAAACTTCGGGACCCCATGGTTTTTAGTTACTTTTACTAAAAATGGTCGGCCCGAAAAAGAGTGTGCACAATTGCAGAATAGGCCTACAGCCTGGTCGAAATTTACAGTGGTCCGCTGGCCCAAGGCCAGTAAAAGAGTCGGCGGACCCGCTGATCTAATGAAACTGGTGGTCCGGCGGGTCAGTTGAAAACTGATGTCTTTTCTGTCGTCACAAATATCTTTCAGTAACCTTTTCTCACATTAAAATGCTTGTTTTGAGAAGTCGCAGTGGCGTGAAACCACATGCGCGAAGCTCAATGCATTAAACGAAGCTGCTCTGGTTCCCGCCGCGCCACACCCATTCAAAAATGTGTGATGGAAATGTAGGAGCCAAAACCAGTCTGTACTGAACATGTACTGAATGTACTGTACATGTCCACTCTACATTGTCCGAAAAGACTTTGATGTTCAAGAGGTTTTGTGCAAGTTAATTAACAGGACTTGGTCTCTTATTTATGTATGTATTTTCTGCGTTCATAAGTTTAATTTGAGGTCATTCTGCTCTTGGCTCTAGCTCAAGTATTATCAACTGCTGGTCCGGATGCATCACGCACGCTTACCATGCGATACATGGACATTATTGGCCAGTTTGCTGTCACGATTGCCTGAGTAGCACTGTGTGAATTGTCAGTACTTTTTTTGTGAATTACTGAATGTAGAAATTTTTACATAGATTAAGACGGGTGTTAATCACCTTTTGAGATAATTATGGAAACTGTCATCCCCATTGATGCCATTCAATCAGCACAAAAAATTGCCCCCCCAACAAAAAAATTTCCAACCTACCAACACTATTTTTGAGAGGCAAAGTCCAACTGATTTGGGGCCTAATAAAAGACTGCATGTATTGCAGTAGGCCAAAGTTAACCACTACCAGCCGGGGACTCCGAAATCGGAGCCGTATGGTTT